TTCTACTCATTTAAAAAAGATTTTTGAACTCAGTGTTGAAGGTAATGAGTTAACTAAATACCTCATTACTTCAACTTAAATGGAGTAAGTTCACAATACTCAAATGGTTTGTAGCAATTGGTTTCCTCAACCGGTTTGAGTTGCCTTAACTTAATGGGTTTTACAGTAATCAGTTGGGTTGTGTTCTCTTCATTTATTGGGTTTTACTGTGCTCAAACTGATTTGTTTACTCAAATGGATGTGAGTAAATGGAAGGTTTTGAACTTAAATGGGTTGTTGCAATCGGTTTCCTCAAATGGTTTGAGTTATCTTAACTTATTGGGTTTTACAGTGTGGGCCATTTTATACCTCAAGTGAGCTTGAAAAGGTTTCAAATCACAAATGCTTATAACGTCTGCTTGAATTTGAAAAGAAAAGTAAAAACGGTTATTTTGAGAAATATTATTACAATATTTCTACAAAAATATCAGCTTTTCTTAACGTCACAAAAATAAAAACAGCACACAGCAGCTTTAATAGCCAGAATTTTTACTATTAAAAATACTTTCGAAACTATGAAATCATTTTTAATTTAACAGTAACAACTACCGTATTTCATTAATTATAGTGTTAATATACCAATGTTTTGTAGTATTAAAATCTACACATTGTACCTTTGTTACACATGCAAAAACACAAGCAAAGGCATGTAGTGATGAGAAAGTCATGTAATGAACCAATGCTCGTCACAAACTACCTTTCCACAAACAGAAAAACTTTCTAATATTGAAGGTACCCATTTACACAACTACTAAATACCTTTATGGTAACACACAACACTAAAGTAATGCAATAAATATTATATATAGCAACATTACATGCATAACATAAAACTCTAATGTGCATCACAAATGAAAAAAGTAATATCATTGAATGTCAACAAAAAACCATAAAAATTCAAGAAAGGATTTCTGGTAAAGCAAAATGACAGTTATTCACTGTATATAATAAGGAAACTTACAGTTAACCATGGATTTTACCTGTAGCATTTTTACAGTTTTTTTTTTTTTTTTTTACCATAATTCCGGTCAGAGCTGGATTATTAGCAGCTATTATTTAGTTGTAGTGCATCACAGGTAAAGTGTTACCCAGAAAAATAAAAGCAAATTTAATTCTAATAGAAATGTAGATTCCCAGTTGTAGATTTTTTTATGTAATTCAAAATATTTTATTTTGAATATGTAACTGTTGTGTGAGTATATTTTAAGGCTGCACAATATATCGCAAATGTATCATTATCATAATAGTAGTATATGCAATATACAATTTACATAAATTTGATGGGGCCTTACTTTCTTTATCCCCACGTCTCCAGTAGCTGCAGTTCTTTTATTGGCTGGATCGGCCTAAAGGTGAATCTGAAAATAAATACTAATGGCAGGAGTCGAGATGAAAGGAAAATGACTACAGCTAACCAGAGCCAGAATATCTGCTAATGTTTTTACTCTGGGTTGTACAGACTAAAGGTTTGCACCATGTCTGAATTAGAATTGATTAGATCTGAAAAATATATTTTATCTGTTTATTTTAATATCATTACATAAAAAATGATTTAAAAACAGAGCTAAAAAGTCCCACTTTATATTAATACTACTAATACTAATACTACCTTTCATAGGAATTAATAGTTTGTTACAATGTACTTATTGTGTAAATACATGTATTTACTGTGTACTTCTGCTTGATTAAATACATGTATGTAATTACATATGTAATTAACTTTTGTAATTACATTTGAAAATACACTGTTGACCATCCCTTACACCTTAACCCACCCTTAAACCTACCCAAACCACCAAACCTGTCCATAACCCAACCCCTATCCCAACTCAAGAGCACCACAAGTGTTCTCGAATACATTATAAACACAAGTACATTTTATCTTATTTTTTTATGTAAGTACATAGTAGTTTGGGACACTTAATATAAAGTGGGACCCAACATTTTTCTAGTGAAACATTATATTATAAGAAATATAATTATCGCAGTACTCAACAACAATATTACACATCGCATAATTTTCCAGTATAGTGCAGCCCCAATGTAATACTAACAACTGATTTAATAATAAATATAGTGTAGAATTGCATTGTCAGAGCAACACAACAACAATAATAATAATAATGATTATTATTATTATATTAAATTATGCACATTAAGGCCTTTTTATTTATTGAAGCACACAGAATAATTAATACATTTATCTTTCACCTTTGTAAAATGAAGCCGTTTCTAATATGATCTGTCAAACACATGCACACACTCTGCGTCCATCAGGCCCGTGCAGAGACCGTCCAAAGGGCATGTGCAGGATAAATTTTTGGAAGGGGGGGGGGGGGGGGGGGGTTGTTGTTGCGCGCGTACTGAAGAGCGGTGTTGTCGCGCGCAACTGAAGGGCGGGACCGAGGGTGTGCCGCGTCGCGGGGGCACTTTTGATCATTTTGGAAGGGCACTTTCTATCCAAGACTAAAAAGGGCATGTGCACTGCACAGGTTGAGCCCTATGTGTGCACGTGCCTGGCATCCATCATTCATAACTCCACCTTACAGCGCTCTCTCTCTCCAAAGCGAGAACATTATATTGCTGAGTCTCTTTCTGTATAACACAATAACACTGTTTCCCTGAATTGAAACGTACAGTTCTGGTCAGCGCTGGTCAGACAGACGGAGTCACCAGCGGTCAGCATGACTATTGAAAAAGCGCTGACAGAGAAAGCTTTCCGGCTCTGAAACCCCCACACACCATTACCACTGGCACATACACACACAAACACACCACATCCCCTGAACAACCTCTGCTGCTTCTTTTATATGTGGTTAAACGACTCAGGGGCTTTCTGGAGGCCCACATTCACTCTTGTGTTTCCTTTTCATCCCTGAAGATGATTCAGCTTCCTTAAATGTTTGGCTCCTGCTCAAAACTGCTAATCTAGGACATTTTATATACAATGGAATTTTAACAAGTGCAATGCACTGGGTAATACAAACTTGTTTACTTCAGTGTTCTTACACATGAACAAATTTAAAACTAGCATTCATAAAAAAATTCCTCTTATTGACATCCATGAGTGTTAAATGATTTAAGGAGGTTTTATTTAGGACTACTTGTGAGGCAATTTGATTCAGTACAATTGATTCATTCCAATTGCACATGCTATACCGGCACCACCACAAATCCACTGACCAGTTATTTTAGTGAACCAAATCCACTCCAGGTGACCAGTGGAGTTTGATTCCCTAATGAACAATTCTTATGATTCAGTTCAATTTGGCAAACTACAATCATAGTTGAACAAAATCCCAATGAATGAGTCTTATGAGTTGGTTCTTTTAGTGAACCAAATCCAAGTCATGTGACTGATGGAGTCCATAACAAACAATTCTTAAAAATCGGTTCTTTTAGTGAACCAAATCCATGCAACTGATGCATTTGATTGACACTCTCACAGCAGGGCAGGTGGAATCTGATTCTTCATGAACAAGAACCGCTACCAGTGTAGTGTGATTCAACAAGAAATTAATCATGAACAAAGTTCTGTTAGCCTATTAGTTTGGAAACAGACCAATGGCCTTCTTTTCATTGGTCTTGGTGTGTTTGCTTGTTGTTTGTTGTGGACCAATGAGATGGCAGCATTCACACCTATTCATATGAACTGCACTAAAAGAACAATTGGAACAATTGAGTTCATGTCAATGAAACCAAACCGGCCAAGTGTGAACACATGAACCCAAACACAAAGTGAGATTCTATTTCATTAAAAAAGTGTGAAATATATATTCAAAAAGGCGGCAACACCAAAAGCTCCACAAATGCCAATTTATTCAATTAAAAAGGCTGATACAAGGCTTGTATCAGGCTTTTTTATTTAATAAATTGGCATTTGTGGAGCTTTTGGTGTGTGCTTTTGTAAAAAGTGTGAACAGTCATTAAAATGCTGATGAGCACAGAAAAAGTAAGCTGTGGTCAGCTTCCAAACAAACTCTGATGCAGCTGAAATGAAACATGAACGCATGCATGAACCATCTACAAGTAAACTAAAAACAGTACAAACTAATACAAGATGTGAGTATTAAAATGACAGTGTAAATGGTAAGCAAATAGGACCAAATGTGTAGTTTTAGCTTTTGATACAGACCAAACAAACCAAGAGAATCCAATTACAAGTATGAACCCATGCTAAGTCTAAAGTCCAGCTGAACAAGGTTAATGCTATTGTAATGTGGAATGTAACTTTTTAAGGCAACATGACTACAATATACAGTTGAAGTCAGAATTATTGGCCCCCTTTTCATTTTTATTTATTTTTTAAATATTTCCCAAATTATGTTTAACAGAGCAAGGACATTTTCACAGTATGTCTAATAATATTTTTTCTTCCAAAGAAAGTCTTATTTGTTTTATTTCAGCTAAAATAAAAGCAGTTTGTAATTTTTTAAAAACCATTTTAAGGACAAAATTATTAGCCCCTTTTCGATGTCTACAGAACAAGTTATCGCTATACAATAACTTGCCTAATTACCCTAACCTGCCTAGTTAACCTAATTAACCTAGTTAAGCCTTTAAATGTCACTTTAAGCTGTATAGAAGTGTCTTGAAAAATGTTAAGTCAAATATTATTTACTGTCATCATGACAAAGATAAAATAAATCACTTATTTCGAGATGAGTTATTAAAACTATTATGTGCAGAAATGTGTTGTGAAAATCGTTAAACAGAAATTGAGGTGAAAAAATCATTTAAAATTTAATAATTCAGGGGGGGCTAATAATTCTGACTTCGACTGTATGTTGTTTAGGATTTTACATAGACTAAAATCCAAACGCAAACGCATCATTTGAGTTTTGGTTCTTCAACTCATCAGTTCTGAAAAACCTCAACCAACAGAGCCCAACATATGCGTACACAACAAAGAACCAAACCAGCAAAAAAAGCAAATGAAAAACAATGTGCAAGTTACTAACCCAGTATCGAGGGCCGGTCTCCGGGGACCGTGGCTGGTACCTCTGCAGGGCCACCCCTCCATCCCCATCTATATCCAGGAGCTGTGGGACGGGTGGCCAGGGGAGCAGTGATGCCAGAGGGTAGTGCGATATCATAATGCTCGGGAAGGTTGCCCACACATGCTCAAGGCTGTAGAGAACCAGCACTCCAGTATCAAAGGCCTGTGTGTTAACGTCTCAGGAGGGTTTTATCACTTGTGGTCGTCCAGATCGTGCCCTTGTGTCCGTTTGTGTAAAGTGGAAACAGTCTGCGTTTAGAAGTCCAATAAAGTCTCTGTCTCTCACCCTGAGTCTAATTCGAGAAGAGCTTGGTAGTCTCTCTGCTGTGGCCACATGAGTGATTAAAGTCTATTGTTTTTCCCTCTCTCTCTCTTCAAAGTAGGAGGAGGGTTGAGCGATAAGCCCTGCCCCTGAACTAATACCAATAGTGTGTAGAAAGAGGGAGAGAAACACAGGAAAAGAGTGAAAAGAGGGGTTAAAGTGGGTTCAAATGTTGAAGGAGAAAAACTAAAAGGAGGTTTGAACCAAACAGTTATTTTAAAACCTACCTAGACTAGACTACAGACTACATATATATATAAACTATATATATTTTAATTTACTATAGCTAATAAAAGAGTTACACCTACATTTTTTTCCTGCATGTTCAAACTACAGTACTTATTTAAAATGAACACATATCTTAAGATTTTTGGGGGGCAACCTAATCATTTTATGTTTAATTCACTTAAATGTAAGTTGTTGTTTTTTTACTTTATTTATAGAAGTATTTATGAAAACATAACACTCAATAGTGTACTTTATGCATATATGTAAACAAAATTATCTCTTGTTATTACCTGATACTAACTAGAACATGCGCCAAAGCACTAGCAAACAAAACAGCAATTTTACAGCTCCATCAAAAAATAAACAATAAAAAAGGTCCTACTTTATATTAAGTGGCCTAAACTGATCTGTATTTACCCTGAAATTACTAATTTGTTACAAAGTACTTATTGTGCAAATACATACCCTTACATTGTATTTATGCTTGATTAAATACATGCATGTAACTACATCTGTAATTAACTTCTGTAATTACATCTTTAATTACATTGCTGACCACCCCTTACACCTAAAAACCACCCTTAAACCTACTCATACTACCAAACCAGTCACTAACCCTGCCCGTATCCACCAGAAGTGTTATGCAATAAATTCTTCATTCATTCATTTTCTTTTCGGCTTAGTCCCTTTATTAATCTGAGGTCGCCACAGCGGAATGAACCGCCAACTTATCCAGCATGTGCTTTACACAACGGATGCCCTTCCAGCTGCAACCCATCTCTCTAAAGAAGGAGAACATGCAAACTCCACACAGAAACGCTAACTGATGCAATACATTATGAATACAGTAAATAGATTGTATTCATATTTTGAAGTAAGTGTATCATTTTCTTGGCCAGCACCATGCCAAACAATCATTAGAGAGAGTTTTGGATGTTTAGGGCAAGTTAAAGCCTGGTCTGAACATCCAAACAATGCTAATTCCACATCAATTTTAATCTCCATTTCAAAAGCCTGGGAATAAAGTCCGGAGATACTTTTCCAAAATTCAGATATACTTCTGGACAGGACCAGAATATATGTATCCTAGTATAGATAGAAGGATACAGCTTATTAAGTTTGGCATTTGTTAAAGTATGGTAAAAGACAACATATCCAAACAAGTTAAAAATCCAAGTACAAAAACACCAATGTAAAACCAGCTCACCCTACTGTTAATTAAAAGCTTGTACTACATTCTACCACTTTGCCATTATCACATGACGAACCAGTGCCAATTGATTAATCTCTAAACGTAAATCTTTTTCTGTGGCCTCAAGGAATGGAAAAAGGTTAATCGAAAATAAAATTCTAAACTGAAGTAGGTCATCTGAGTACTTCTCACCAATTATTTATTTGAATGCTACCAATTTGGAAAACTTGCTTATCATACTATTGTTGTACAATATAGTACAGAAGTATGCATTTCAGATGTAGCGAGTCCTTTCAGAGCAAATAAAATCACAAAGAGTCTAAAAAAACAACAGGCAATTAGCTATAACAATAACTATAACATTTTAACTATAACATTTTAAATACAAGAGATTATGTTACAGTCATACCCACAACAACACAGAGGATTGAAAGTGTTGGAATTACATTCAGGAGTTGCTTAATAATACCTTTTAATTTTTCTTTACGTAGCTTTTTATGCATTTTTTTTACAAAATAATTTTGTTTTGGGGACCTGAAAACACAAAATGCAAGTTCTAAAAATGGTACCATTATTGTCTTTGTGTAAAGCTGATGCATATGCAAGTACTTGACAAACAAAAACAAAATTGTGGTCTACAGAAGAGTAGAAGTACTGTATGTGTATATATGTGTGGATATATGTGCAGACGTAGCATTTGTTAACAAAATGACATAGCAAACTTCCGACCTGGAATGCATAATACAGCATTTTTTTTATAAACTTTTTTTATTGTAGAAAAAAACACGTAATAATTAACAAGAAATTTTTTTAACATTTTAACTCTTGCCCCAAAGCATCCAAATTCATTTGAACAGGTGAATGTATTGTAATACATCGGCTAAGGCAAAGAAAAACATATACTGTATTTCAAATACAAAAACACACATATACACATATCAATCAATTAAACAGTAGCGTGAGAGGTATTTTGCTTGTGCCATTGTATGGTTTTGTTCCAAAAATTGTATAAACAGATGCCAAATTTTATGGTACCCCTTTAATTTGCCCTTTATACTGTAGGTGGTTCTTTCCAATGGAGTGTAATGAGTCAAATCTTTCAGCCAGTGGTCAATAGATGGACTTTCTATGTTCTTCCAATAGAGTGCTATCAAACGCCTTGCAATAAGCAGACACATCAATGATTTTAGTTTGATAACCTGATAATGACAAACTTACAGGAAATAAACCCAAAGCACATATATTTTAGGCGTAACTGGAATTGGTTTTAAAATAATGGAGGAGATTAATGTAATTACGTTTTGCAAGAAAATCTTAACCACCTCACATTCCCAGATACAATGAAAGATTTTTTTCGGCATTTGAAACATATATCTTTTGAAATTTATATCTGGGATGTTTGAGTAAAACTTGTTTAGTTTTTCAGGTGTAAAATAAGAAAGTATTGGTCAGTTATACTGGATTATCTAGTATTAATTGACAAGTTCTAGGCTTTACCATGTATTTGGCTCCATTCTAAATCTTTCATGTCATATTAATACAGCATTTTGATCATTTTCATAGATTTTCTTGGACAACGTTGTAGTCTGTAAACGAACTCTTTAAAAATGCAAAGAAAAATCTGCTCTGTTTTTGTGTAAGAAGTAGAGCTGGGCCAATAAATGATATTATATCGAATCACGATAAGGTTTATGTCAAAAACAATGATAAGCTCTGGACTTTTTTACTCTATATTGATCTAAGAGCCAATCACACAGATGAAATGTGCAACAATGGGAATCTAAAAGTGTGTTGATATTTGACATGTACTGAATATGTGGCCAATGAAATGGCATATGTTATGCCATACAATAGACCAATGTAATTTTTGTGGCTTCAGTCATTGTTGGGATACTCTTTAAAATCTGAAAGCATTACCAATTTATATTGAAATATATATCATGATCATTCAATACGGAAAATAACTATCGAGATTGCATTTTTACCATACTGCCCACCCCTAGTAAGAAGGCTCTTTTCCAGCTGATTAGAAACAAAACCAATGACAGCCAATCAGAATATACCTACAATTAAAGAGCATGCAATTAAAACAAAGACTGGACATTATATTAATATAGATATCTGAATTATTTAATTTTCATTCTTAGTGTGAACAGACCCTTAAAGGTTGAAAAAAGACCTGACAAGAGATTGGCTTGTCATCTGAGTTAAGCAGTAGCTGTTAGTAATCAAATGTTTCAGTTAACCAATAATTCAGCAGTGTGGCCTTTGTCACCAGCCAAGGTTTAACCTAAATTGTGTGGTAGCAAACAGAGATGAGGATAAATGTATGGGGTGACTGTTTAAAAAAAAAATAATAATAATGTGATTATTTTATATTGGAACAGCATGTGGTAAAATCTACACAGATGACGAAGGTTTGAAGTATTCTTTGGGACACTGCTTATCACTTTCTGTGTGGTGCTTACAACACACATTCATGTTTCTTAAGTCATACAGTACTTGGGATTGTTAATAAGACACAGAGGTTTGAACCTTTAATTTGCCACTGTTGCAAAAATGCCTCCAGCAGACATGTGAATCAGTAACATAAAATAACAGCAGCAAGATCCGGAGGACACTAGTTTAGAGTGTTTCACAGAATTCAGACGCGTACACATGAAGTGAGCTGACATAATGGAATATTCTGGGTAAAAATATAACTTTAAATCTGTGGAAAACTTCCATGACAAGCTGTCATGTCCATGGACAATCATTGTTACTAGTGCCTTAAGTTGTAAACGTACAAGCAAAAATGTCTTGCTTGTACTTTTTACTGTAAAGAGTCAATTTGGTCTGTTTTGAAAGAAAAAGGGACAAGTCCGTTATAATACATCTGCAAATCAGAACTTCTAACTTTATACAATCCTCAACATTTTGCGACCCACTCATGAGGTATTCTGACTGTGTTTATTTTGTGCCCCTAATGTATGCTCTTTCCAACACACATGCTCAAATTCAAAGGAAAAAGTTTGGAAAATAAATCAGCCAATTAAACTAAAATGCCATTGATTTTCCTTTTAGATCCCAAGCCTCTTCATCTATTGTTCATTATTTAAGAGGATTTTATCGTGACCTACAGAATGATGAACCTTTTTCAACTTCTCCCTGCTCTGTTCCTCCTCCTCCCTCCTTGCTTCCTTTCTCTGTTGTTCATTCCAGCTTCTTCTGTCCCCATGGCTGAGCTCAACACCCATCTGAACTGTTTTGAAAGTTCTCTTTGCAGACTCTCTGCGCTGGTACATTTTGATCTCTGCAGTTTGCTGACATAGGCTGAGTGCGGTCTGCTAAAGTTTACACAGCTGGCACCTTTTTTCTTTTTACACTCAGATGCACATTTAGACACGTTATATCAACCAACTCCTTTCCTTACTTCATTCCACAACACAAGAAACACAAAGAATGTTGCACGGATAACACATCAACAGAGGAACCTCGTGTTTTTCTGCTCATAAAAATCAGTGAACACATATTAAGTAGTGTTTTTCAGCAAAAAGTGCTGATGAGAGCATCCACGTGGAACATACTGGACTTATAACTCTTGTAAAATACAGGATTTAACCAC